AAGAAACATTAAATACCTGCATATGTGGACCAAGGGATGCTTCCACAACTTCAGGTAATACAGTATAGTTGCCATCGATATAATGCAGACGAACTTGGATATTACTACTCCCAACCTGGGAAACAGGTAATGGATGTGGAAGACCAGCAGTACGGCGGCAGAGATCCATAAGTATGAGGAAAAGGACTTTCACCTGCAGAGTAAAAGTAAAAGCAGTTCATGCCTCCATGTTTTTTTTAAACAAAATACGAACTTTTCATCTATGAAATGGAAAGGAACAAAAATTGTTCAAGGATACAAACTCTCTGGAGTGAAAGGCAAGCATAAAAATATAAAGATACAAATACAGAAACTAAAAGACCAGTACAGAAGCTAAGTAACCACAAATAAAAGCATCCCAATTGTTAAATATAAGAGCAGGAGTAATGTGAGAATGACTCAGAATGTCTAAATTTTTAACCAAGAATCCCTACATTTTTTATAAAATCTTGAATTCGTCTAATTAAGTTCATACCATATTAGGTTCTATTTTCCTTCCAAATAAAATTAATTCACCCAAAAGCTCATACCATGAATTGTAAATATAACAAGATATGCTCGGGCAAACTAGGAATTATCCCAAGTTGGCCTAACAAGGAGGAAAGGAATAGATAATCTGTAACAAAACTTGGAAAAAGTAACTTGTTCTACCTCCTCAAAAGTATATCCTTGACCAGCATTTCCTGTACCTATTCTTGACCTACCAGCAAGCCCTTCTTCGGCTCCTTTAGCTCCAGTTACGAGCTGACCAGCTCGGGCTATTTGACTTTCTTCAGGCTTGACTATGTTTGGCACTGGCTTGGCAGAATTGGAGCTGATCTCCTCCACTTTCCCAGGAATAGCAGATTGAGGTTTTGTATCAGCATTTCTTTGTGAATTACCAACAAAACGGGGAAGCTGTGCTCGGCGAAAGAAAAAACAGAAGAGCAAAAGTTGGCATAATCTGTGTAAGAAATGGCAGTCCCCAATAAGCCGAACAGCTGGTGTTCCAGGAAAAGTTCCAGTGTTGATACTTATTGGCATAAAGGTAGATGAACCACTAATGTGGTTTGGTGTTGAACTGGATACTCCATCAGTTGTGCTACTGATCTTAGCAATTGCACCTTGTACCCAAGCCTGCATCTGGGTGCTTCCTGTAGAACTTGTTGTACCACCTTGAGCACCTGGAAACATGAGACAAAATTTTTAAATTACATGAGGACTAGATTCACCTCCATTCTCGAGTGAAGCAGCCTAGGAGTTTCCTAGGCATCAATTCCACAAGTTCCAAGAAAATGAATCATCTTAAAGCTGCTAGTTTTTTTCTTTAAAACAAGAAACAAGCAGTTCATTGAAATCTAAAATGTTGAATATTTTTGTTATTGGAAAATAAATACATAAATCTTTTTTTCAACAATTCAGAGTAAGGAAACAGAGCAGACTGACCCTGACTTGTTGCAGGAGATGCAGAACTTTGAGTAGGACTAGCCACCATATTACGGTTGCTACCAGTTCCAGCAGTAACAGCATGACTTGCCAAAGTGCGGCAGAAACTTGCATACCGTCGCAAACGTGTGATGAAATGTGAAGCAAGATCAAGAACAGCATCAACATAAGCCTGCAT